AAATTGGATCTTCGGATTCTATTATTTAATATTATTTATCACAAAATTAATTTAAATAAATAATAGATCTCGCCAAAATCAAAAGCATTAAGTATATTAAAAGCGTTTACAACCTAAATCGATTGGATTTAGGGCATAACACTTACAGATGCTTCCATATTTTCATCTAATAAAACGGGTTATGGAAACACACTTTTGTAAGTGGCATTCTGCTGGATGCTGACACGTGGCTCTACTCTTACCATAGGATGGAGGGTTTCATATTGGTGATATAAATATGAACTTAACTCTTCGTTTGGCTGCAACGATTCATTTTTGGTGACTTTTCGAGTGAGGCTTCGAGAGAGTTCTTCTATTTTCTCGAGGGTTTTCTGCTTCCCTATTTTATAATCGATCGTCTCATTCGATTAGAGTTGAAGGTTTTAACTACTGAATATGTGTATATTCTTGAGTGATACTTAGAGTCCTCGTGTGTTGAGGTTAGGGTTTGTGGTCTGTTGATTCGAAGAAGATCTGAAGCAGATCTGTGATTTTCGTTTAAGAGATAAGTCTCTTTTTCTGTGTATTCTATTGATTGATGAACTTTGTAACCTTCGATTGCCTGTTTTTGGGGCTTTAGTGCAACCGAGCAATATCCACTTTGATTGGATGTTCAACGGGGGATTAGGTGTTTGACACTGAACCTCTGAGGTTTCGATCGAAAAATCTTGTTGTGTTCTTTATTTTTGCAAATTTAATTTCTGTTTTTGGATTGATTGAATCTTGCAACTTATTATGTAGTTTTTTTGGCCCCTTTCAAGCTTCTTTTATAATAATGCAGCAATATATAAGTATCTGTGACTTCTAACTCATTTATGTATTACACAAACTAAAGATTTAAGAACTTGTGTATCTTGTGTATGGCCTAAACAAAATCCTTATTAATCAATAAATTGATGAAAAGAAATTAATGCTTATACATGCATTTAATGTTTACAGGTTCTATGTTGTTTAGATGCAATAGCTTTCCCTTACATGTGAAAAAGAGATTAAAAAAATAAAAAAAGTGAAGAAACATAATTGATTTTGCTTAACTGGACTGTAATAATTATGTAATAACAGATCTTTATACAGTCAAGTTTTCCGTTTAATTTATAAGATAGAAGAAGCCGGAAGGACTACCAAAACTAGTGATTGCAACACCTCGCCCCGCGCCCCACTCCACCTTAGACGGGGCGGGGTCGGGGCAACTTTTTGCCTCATTTGTTGTCCCGTTTAATTTTTTTTATTTTTTATTTTTTTACACATTTTGAAAATTTCGAATTATGTTATTATTAGACAATAAAATATAAATTCAAAATGAGTTTTTAACGGGTGAATTGTTTATAAATAAAATTATTTTTAGTTTTATTTTTCTTCACGGGGCAAGTTCGGGGCGCCTTGCCTTGCCGCACCCCGCCCCACCAACCCGTTCGGAGCGGGGTAAATTGCCATTCCTAACCAAAACATAATCCTAAATCTATTGAGTATAGTAAAACATTTCTGATTAAAAAATTAAGGATTCTTGCATTAAAAAAAAATAAAAAAATAAAAGAGATTTTTTTTTTTTTTTTTTTTGGGGGGGTCGATGGAATACAATAATTAATGCTTTATTTTTGTTCCTTATTATTCTGGTCTAATACGATTATTGCAAAACATGTTGTAATAATAATAGTAATACAATTTATCAACTTTCTTGATTATTGTCCACCTCAATGACAATAAATTTACCTTAATAATATCCACCTAATGAAGTATGGTGTGTCCAAAAAAAAAAAAAAAAAAAAAAAAAATTCAACTTGCAAATAGTGACTGTCGTGTTCAACTCTCAACTTGCAAATACGGAGGAATGAACAAAAATTCAAACCAGAGGTTGAAAAATATGTATGATATAATAGACCACACTTGACGTACTCTTTCCCAAAACACAATGCAAACAGTTGCAACAAAGTCAATTCAACAAACTTCGTTAAAACTAGAGGTAGCAAATATTCATATCATAGGTAACATGAATTAATTAAAACAAAATAAACAAAAAATAGAAAATCTAGATATAGAATAAAGAATACAAAATTCACATAGTAATTTTTTTTTCACTACAGTAAAATCTCGATAAATGAATGTTCAATAAATTAATAATCTCACTTAAATAATAAAAATTCTTCAATCACGACTTGAGACCAGTATAATAAATCAATAATCCCACTAAATGCATAAGATTATAATTTTTTTGAAATCCTTGAAGGCCCAACGAGTATATAAAATAATAATTGCTTTCATAAAAGTTTGGTAATGCAAACTTTTAATTAGACTATTTATTTCAATTCGTCTATTTTCCCAAATATGCATTTAAAGTCTTTTACTTTTTCTTTGCACTAAACTAAATTCAATTTCATCCCTAATTTTTTGCAATACACATACTACATTTAGCATTTTTTATTTTTTTCATTTCGTACAAAGTAATTAGTTAAGGTTGCAGTTGCTTGAAATGCCTTTTTTGAAAAAATAGTTGGTAAAATACAACTATTATTTGGATCATGATCACCATTGATAGATGTATTAAGTGCCCCTTGAATAATATCTTCATTAGTAAAAGATTCCATCACCGCATCATTTTGACTAGGAGAGGTGCTCGACATTCATCACATTTCTATATATAGCGTAGACGAGAAATAGTTTCACACAATCCATTGATTCCTTCAAAGGAGATCTTGTAGGTAAGTCTGATTGCTTAAAAAACTCTATTTAGGATAAAAAAAGACGCCGTTTCCTCGATTACATTTGGTTCAAAATTAATATCTTTATCTAATCAAATCTTGTAGTGCCGAAAATAATATGCAATAAAAAATAATAATAATTCTCTCATTGTCCTTCTTGCATCCTTCCAATTGTTTTGTAGCAAGTGAATGATCTGTTTCTAAACAATAAAATAACCATGTTTCATCCATCTGATCGATATTAATCCATTGAACTTGGTCTAATTATATGCTCGTATTTCTGTTAAAGCATCTTCGATGTTCTCCATGGCAATTGAAGTATTTTTACCAAATCTTCCGTAACACTTAATTCCGTGTCTTGATCTGAACCTTTCTAGCCAAGCATTTAAGAAAATAAATTCTGAATTGCTTTCGCCATACATTTTGAGCAATAACTCTTTTTGCTTTCTTCTGTATCATTTCTCCAGTCATATTTACTTTCTCTTGACATTAGAGAAACCACTCGTACATTAACTTTCCTAACTGGGGATATTTTGCTCATTTGTGTTTCTTAACATTGCTATTTTTCATTTCATCCAACAAATATTCTATTGACCGCTTGAAAGTAGTAGATATTGTTGATAGGCTAATGAAGATATGGAAGTTTTTTCTAACTCACTGTTGCAAATCTTTTTTAATTAGAATAGGGATATTCATTTCTATATTCACATAATGTTCTTCTCATCTCATCAATCAATGTATATTTTTTGACTCCTTCCAAATGAGATGACATGGTCGAAAAATGTATGAAATTTGAAATGATTGAGGGGGTCTAAGTTCAAACTAACGACAATAAAAATTATGTTCCATTTGTATATGAAATAACTTGAACGATTAATCTCTCAATGTAGAGAATCGGGCCAAATAATAAAGATGGGAATTATATGAGTAATATGAAAATAATGGATCACAAATATAACAAGATTTATGTGAAAACCCAAATTCGTAAAAAACACCAGCATAGGCAGAGAATTCACTATAATCAATAATAAGGAATTACAAAAAATCTCTTTAAACCAATAAGATATTGGACAATTGGTCAAATCCAATATATGTTGTACACCACAAATTTCCAACCAAAGAATCCTTAACATATTAGGAGAAATAATACATTAAAAGTTTAATATAATGTGAAGTCTCAATACAATGGATAAAACCAATAATGGAGAATTTGGGACGAAATAGGAATCAATTTCACCTTAGACTCCATCAAGACATCTTCAAGTCTACAACCAACCCCAACACTCCTCCAACAATATTTCCAATCAAATACTCAACAAGATTTAAGGTCACAATCCAATTCTAATAAACTCTACCTCGACACGAATTCCACTGCAAAGTAGATTATTTAATTTATCTAAAAAATCACAAATTTTAATTGTTTCGTTAAGGCTGAGTTAATTTGAACTTAAACTAGTACAATCTCCGTGAGTACGATACTTGGATTTAAAATTCATTTTATTATTTGTTAAAGAATCGTGTACTTGCAGTATTTTGATTGAACAATAACTTCGTGAAAACTAGGTTTCAAAATTTTGAACCTGGGGTGAAGGAAACCTATGTTGTTCAGATGATTTTGGTCATCGGGCTCCTATACTCTTAGGTTTATTAGAGGTAGATATAGAGTTGGTCCTACTCAAGATTTTGCTACACTCAAGTCTTTAGGTTTCAAGTTTTGATCCTTAGGCTAAATCGAGACAGGTACAAACTTATTTTTAGAAGAGGAAATAGTTTCAAAATTTCTTTTATTAAAGTCTACACCTCCTCTATTCCCAGCTGATTTGTTAAGACCTATCATGTTATCAATCCTCTTAGATCTGTTAGAGAAAGATCAAAGTTTGATATTTGATTTTTCAAGATCACTCGTAACGGTCTCAGCCTTAACTTCTAAGGACTCTTTCTCAACCCACAACTCATCCAGGCCTCTGGTAGATTCTTCAAGTTCGATTATAAGTCTCTCCTTTTCTAATTTAAGTTTATTTAGTTTCTTAAAGACTGATTTAATAACTTAATCACTACAACAAAAGTAGTTTTTTACGGCGTACATGAAGTGTTTGATTACGGCGTTCGATAAATGTGTGCAGTAATAAATCAATTACTTAATGTACTTACGGCATTCATTTATGGTACCCCGTAAATATTTAGTAATTATGGCGTAATGTTCGAGTGTGTCATAAATGGTTCATTTTCAACTGGGTGCATTTTGTATGCTGTAATAGTCCGAGCCCAAAGCAAAAGAAAATTAAAACCTACTGGCCTAAAAGCCGACAACAAACCCATATTTTGTAAGGCAAACCCTTTCCCATTCCTTCAATTCACCCAACCGACGATTCCAATCACATAGTTTGAAGGAAGAACGGATTGAAGAAGCAAAAAAAAAAATTGTTTTTTTCTTGTAGGAAGAACGGAGTTGTAAGAAGAATCCCAAAGACTCTGAAAATGGGCTTGTCCTTTCGTCTACTGAGGAAAACTTTTCACTTTCTGGAAAAACTACTTTGATGATCAAGAATATACCTAATCAATTAAGGTACAGTATATATTTTCTTAATTTTATGAACTTTGCTATGTGTTTGGATTATTTATTTATTTTTATTTTTATTTTTTTTTGCACAAATAAAGCACTATTCAAGTGTTTGATAATTTGTGTAATTCGTGTAATTTCTGTGATTAGTGTTTCGGTGATAATTTGTGTAAAATATATAATTTGTGTTGATAATTTCTGTGATTAGTGTTTGATGATATTTGTGGGCATTTTTATCAATTCGATCCATTACTCTTTACCTTTATCAATTTAATATAGACCGATTTTTCCAACATTAAGTTTATACTGCAATGTAAATACATTTTTTGATACAGCATAAATATTCTAGTATTGAATTTGCAACAAGTTCATTAACACTGTCATTCATGGAGGAATTGGAAGAAAAATTGGTTGGTGAATGTAGCCAGGTTTTGTGGGGACTTTTTGGCTGTGGGGTTGTTGGGATAAGGGGTGGGTATAATCTGGGGCTCAATGGAGGCTTTCATGGACTAAGGGTGAAGGTCATGGACTTCACCTCCATGCTTTTGTATCTGTAGGAGTTTTATTGTAAATCATAATGGAAAATCACATTTCATCTGTGGGTTCGGTAGACCTTTAAAGTGGAGAAGATTTAGTTTTCCAGATTCTTCATTCAATACTTGGTCAAACCCAATACTGGTTTAGATAATCAATTAACTCCTAACAAAATTTAGACAATAAGAAAGACCTTAAATTCTTGATCAAAAGAGACAAAACTGCTCATATTAAATTCAGTACGATGGATGATATTTCACTAGAGTGTTAATGATTTCAACATTTCTTTGTTTGATCAGGTTTCTGTTGAAAATCTCTAGATACATGAGGACGCAAAGAAGTTCTCATATCAAACTGGAGTAAAGGTTGTAGTTGCCTATGGTGGGGCTTCAATTTACTGGCAGGTTCTGGTTTTTTACAACTGAAACTGAAATTATTATGTTGTTTTGACATTGGCTGTTAATTTATCTTGACATCATTTGGCTAAATTCTAATCAATGTATTTGTTGATTGTAATGTTAGAATGGTTTAAGTAGATTGTTAGATTGTAAGGTGACATGATGGCTCCATTGGCTTCTTGTTGAGGTAGATGCCATGTATCAATGATTTTTATATTTCTTGTAATGATAATTTGTCATTCTAAGATACTATAAGTAACTTCTTTTTTTTCTTTTTTTCTTTTATTATTATTATTTTTTTTTGGTGACAATTTCAGTTTTTGTGGCTAAATAGTGAGGATAGTAATATCATTATCTTTGGAATGGAGTTTCCGTCCTTGCCTATTTGATTTTCTTCTATAATGGAAGTTTTTGTCTCTGGTTTCTTGAGTGCCTTAAGTAAGTGAACACATGTTTAATTTGTAAGCCAAAATGCATTTTCGTTATATGCAGTTTTCGTCTTTCTCTGTTGGTAAAATTAACTGATCATTGCTTGGGAAGGATGTGGTTTAAGGAAATCTATCATTATCATTATATTATGTCTTTTTCTTAGCGATGTTCAAGAAGCAAGTTTATCGTTCCTGTTTTAGTGAAGTTGTGTGTACAATTTGTAGTTTAGATTTAATTTTTACTATGTTGTTTTTTCGCACTATTTTGAATAAATTTTTGACAAAATGAGTGAAAATACATCTAAGTATATCACTTATTTTTTGTGATGTGCAAGGAGTTGATTAATTTTGGGATAGCTAAAATTTTGATCAGAGAAACAAATTTCTTGATATATGGAACAATTGTTTTGTAATAGTTTAACTAGTTATTTTAGAATAGTAGTCTAATTTTGGCATATTGTATTGTAATAGTTTACGTATTGAAATGAGATTATGTTCTTTAATTATTTGGGTTTGGTGATCAAATAAATAATTATTTAAAAAAAAAAAATTAGATGGACATTTACGGCATGCATTAAAGTACGCCGTAAAAAATATCATCCTTTTAACGGCGTGTGGATGCATGCCATACAAATGTTAGTATTTGGGGCGTGCTTTTTGATTTTTTAAGCAAACTGTGTTGTAGTTTATGTAACTCGACACTCTTCTTATACAACTGGTCATAAGCATCATGAATATCCATTTCATCCTTAGATCGTTCATCAAAATGTGAATGACTCATTTAGACAAAAATTGGGTCACAAATCGCAATTAAGATCCAATACCACTTGCAAGATAAACATTTAGACTCAAACATATGAAATTAACACAATGACAAGCAACAAGTCTTTTATTGTCTCTAGATGATTATTAAGTATAATCAATATTAAACTCTAAATTTAAACAATCACAAACATTCAGATCAAAATAGTAAAGTAAATAACACCATATATTCTCAAGATAAAAAAACCTTCGGACAAACTTGCAAATAAAATTCATTAGAAAAGTTAATTTACAATTGATCCAGACACTGCTAAACTTTAATTGACTCTGATCATCTAACTTGTAAATCACCAAAGAACTCTTTGAGTGTGCGAACTGCACTTTCCAGCAACTCTAGGCTACTTTTTCCTTCACGTGGATCACCAAGAACGAACTCGTTTAGGAGTGCTGGAACACTAAGCATCTCTTCTCCAACTTCGAAACTCTAAAGGCTTATAGATAGAGGTAAGGATTTTTGGTGTTTGATATTTAGATCTTGTATTTTGATATTTTGATTGAACAAGAGAATTATGCAATTGTTGTATGATCCTTGTAAGATGTTCTATTGAACGTATAATGGCTTAATCAATGGCACAAGATGGTTTCGGACTAATTATGGCTTTGGTATATATAATATGAAGTGCTTGAAGTTATTTGGGATTGTAAAAAGGCTAAAAATAACGATGTAGGGTTTTTGCACGTAACACAGCTGGTCAAGCGAGACTAGCGCCTAGCTAGCATTTAATTTTCTATTTTGGGCACTCGAACGCCTAGAGGGTGGCCAGCGAGCTTTCTCTAAGCAGTCGCCAGTATTTTTATTTATCTTTCCTTTCCCGATATTGGATTGAGGTGACTCATAGTGAATTGGAAAATTAATTCAAATGGATATAATTCTTTTAGAAATAGTATGCTTCCAATTCGAATGTTTGCTATGTAAAAAAAATGCGTCGCAACTTGTGACTGAGAATTTGAACTATGACTTGTGTGTGGCATTTTGACACTCTCTTGACTTCTAATTGCATTCCATTAATCATTTGTGATCTTCTTAGGCATCTTTGAGCTCTTTGATTTCTTCAAGACTTATACTACTAAGCCATTGACCTTTTAACTTTAATTACAACTCCATTATTTTAATTTTGTCTAAGGAATAACCAATTACAAATAGAAACCTAGCGGTTAAGAGATTTTTTTATAAATATTGCAAAGCTGATATGGATAATTGGAAATACAGATCGGGATTGAGACTCTAATTATATACGCACGCATGTAGTGCGGGTGATAACATTGCACACTGGAAAGCAGTACCTTTTGGAACAATTAAGTTAACTACTGATTAAATTAATTTTAATTATTGGATTTGTTGGCTAACTTTAACCCTGATGTTGAGTTTAACAACATTGCTTCATCCCGTAATATCGTTAAAAAGTAAAATGTTTTGTACCAACTGCTCTTTTCCTAATTGTGGTAAATTCTGCATGTCTTACAATTGTTAAGTTTGCGTTTGGCAAACTTTAAATTTTAGTTTAAGCTTTACTTACACATTTCATTACTGTATAGCTACAGTCCTAATCCACTATAAGTTGGTAAAGTAAGTGAATTATTTTTTAAATTAAGCTAAACTGGTTGAAAATGGGTGATAGAAGCCATGACATTCTCTTACGTGCGTGAAACTTGCGTGAATAAAAAATAAAAATAAAAAAGGTGGGCCTGACTCTGTGAGTGTTTGGTCAAGCTGTCAAAACCTTTGTGTCAATTTAGCATCATTGTAGTTTTTAAAATGAGCATATCCAGTCAAAACCAACTACTTTGGAAGTGAATAGTGATATGACTACAATATTGAGGGTGAACTACTATTTTGCTCATACGTGTTTCTCATTTCATTTTTAGTTAATGTTGCTCTCGGCATTAGGGTTTAATCCCAATAATTTTCCATACTTAAAATGACATTCTAAGCATTGATAAGCAATTTTTCATTACAGTGAGGAGCTAGCTACATCGGGTTATTCCAATATTTTCCCATACGAGTTTTCTATTGCATATCTACATGATTGATTTTAGAGACGATTCAAAATTTTCTTAAACAGAACACTTACCATGATTTATTATCGGAACATACACAGTGACCTGTTTTATCGCTATAAAACTCGTACCATGCAAAAGTTTAGCCAAATATTTATGCATTATGTTACTCATCTTAACTTTTTAATAGATAGATGGTAGGGTCCAATAGTACACAATTTGTCATATTTCAATATTTTCCACATCCTCGGCGGGTAGATTCACCTGCTCTAGGATTTATAGGTATTGCCCGCAAAACCCAGATAAGGATCGCTTTCGCGCAAAAGCTTATCGGTGTTGATGACAGTAATGACCAAAATTACAAGGAAAACCAAAACTGAGAGGGCTGAAATGATGAGCAGTAGTGTGGGTGCTACAACGCCTTTAACCTGTTGTGCATATTCTGCTGAGGCAAGTGCGAGGAATGTCAAGGGAAATGAGTATGCCCACCATGCTACATTGAACCTCTTCATCGATTTCTTGAAAATTCTTGGCCGACATATCTGATAATTACAAGGAAAAACACAAGGATTAACTCAAAATCAATTTAGGCATCACATTGTCCTACTTTTAGAAAATAGTTTGTCCATGTCATGTTGCACTTCCAATTTTCATAATGTGCAACCTATGATCTGCTAAAGAAACAAACTAAGACTGTTTGATAAGGCTTTTACTCCATCTTTTTTTTTATATAGAAAAGATTCTTGAGAAAAGCTATCTTGGATCAGCTTCTTGTAAGAGCTGTTTTAACACGATAAAGTACTTTTAGAAAACTATCAAAAGAGACCCTAAAGTAGCTTCTCAATCTCATAAGCAGCTATTGACTTTTCAAAAGGCCAGCAAAAGGGACAAGTCTTAATTCTTACCAATGATGAGAAGAGGAATAGCGAGAGAAAAAACAGCATTTTGCATGGCATGTCAAAACTGCCAGAAATGGAGCTCCAAGCCAAGCTCCCGATGCTTGGTGCAGCAACAAACAAAAAGAAGACTGGCCGGAGCATTGCGGGAAAACGATTAGCACCCGATAATCGCTGATAAAGCGTGATAAACACCACCAAATAATGAGCCAAACCGAGTGTAAATATGCAAACAGCACTCTCTTTCCATCCCATTCTTGCTGCAGTCCATGCACCTACCAAATTCCCTATAACTGATAACTGGCTTGTAGGATTTGCCACCATCGACAGAAACCGTTTTTCTGTTGTAAACCACTGCCCATAAATCTTGAGATCAAGTACGACTACAGGAACAACAAAAACCCACCACAGAATATGATAGGAAACAGCATTTGCAGTCACAAATGGAACTGTTTGGAGCAAAATAAGCCATGAAATCCATGGAGTGAAAAGATAGTTGACACCAACATGGTGCAAGAACTCTGCTTTCACAAGATTGAAGTAAAAAATGCACCTCAAAATGTAGAGAACAGAGAGAAGAGTGAGAATGCACAGGGCAAGCCACCAGAGTAGAAGAAAAGCCATTGAAGGGAAGGTATGAATATGTAGAATGACATGAATAGCTTGTGTTTCGTATACATGTTCACTTAGGGTTTTCCATAGCAAAACTTGACCCCCAAAAGATAGAGTTATTCTGAAATAGCCTGCATGGAGCCTGGTTAAAATGGACGGTGGTGATTTCTTGGCTATATCACCATTTCCTTGTGGATTGTTTGAAGAGTCAATAACTATCTTAATCGATGAATCCTCCATCGAATATTATACTTTACTTATATATTTATATGTATATCTTTCTGGTTTGATTATGAGAGAGATTACAATTGCATATAGATAAATTAGTGCTTGCGGAACTTATATAGGGATCTTGAGAGAGAAAGTAGAGTGAGAAATACAGTGCAGACATCAGGAAGTTCGGTTTGAAATGATCTTTTGAGCTTGGAACTCATTATATCATCTCACACTTATAAGATTACTCAAATTTTGTTTTGATTCTCGAGAAAAAAAAAATTTAGATGTTTATAAGGCCACTAATGTATTATTCTTAGCATATTTTTGGATATAATTTATAAATTCACATTTATAATTAGCATACATAGTTGTCTATACTTTTCGTGTGATCCGCTACGGTTCCTCTTACTATTTCTATTTATAAATCATTAATAAATTTGTAAAATGGAGGCTTAATTGTTATTCTTGCTAGAATTCATAAATAGCGTCACTTGATCAGTGAAAACCTAATTCCATTTGTGGTTGCTTTAATTTTCGATTCTTTTAATTTTAATTTCAAATTTCTTTGTAACTTTGTTGAGTTCTTCTTTTTTAACCTTATAATTCTTGATCTCAAATAATTTATTACATAAATAAACATGTATACACCATAGAAATTACGAACACAGGTTAATTTCAATTAAATATAAAACAAACAGTTGTATATATTATTAAACATCTAGGTTCAAAGGTATTAATGATATTCACAATAACATATCATGTGATATATATGTTAAAAACTGAGTCAATCGATAGCGAAAAAAAATAAAATAAAATAATTGAACTGAATAAAATTGATCAAGTTATGACTTCTCCTGTTTTAAGTTGAACACGTCAATTGAACAATCTCCACTCAATTTTAAGATACAGTATTTTGTGATCAAACGGATCCAATCTTGAAAACGTTGTTGGGAACATCTTGGTATTATGTAAAGCAGTTATCGAATTGCATCGATTGATATAACTGTTAGTACAAATGCAAGACATCTAACTAATGAGCCTTTATTAGGACCAGTATCCCAAAAATTATACATACCGAAAAATATTGTACTTCATTTAAAATATTAAACTCTTACAAGTTAAAGCGACAACTATCCATGGACTTCGATTAAAACCCTACTAGACACTTAAGTGCCACATATGGGGGCTTGCGAGATTGAACCAAAAATAGTCATTGATAATTTTCAAAACAATGATGCTAAAATCATTCGAGAATTGATATTTGAAATGGAAGAGCTAGTGCATGAGGTAATTTCAGGTTCTAGCAAGTCAACGTCTTTACTGGATAAAGATGACCCCGGTGTTACTAGTACTTTGATAGTTGGCAAGAAAACTAATTAGCCATTTGATAGTAATCCATTAGTAGACCACATATCGTGAAGATATGTGCAACCATTGCAAGTCCGTCTTTTTACAAAGGGTCTGAGCCCAGACTCGAGGCTGGTGTTGATAATTTTATTCCTTCATCTAGGGACCTTTGCTATTCAAGTGTTTTGTTGGATACATGTACGGTGAGATCAACTAGGGATTGGACTTGCAGGAAATGTGTTACGGACAGATATTGATGAACTCTGATGAAGATAGTGATTATGAGAGTGATTATAAGCCAACAAAATATTGCACACACTGCATGATGACAATATGATAAAAGTAAATTAGATATAGATCTTATTCATTTTACTCTTGAATTAATTTCCATGTTTACATATTGATTCGAGGCCAGGCTAAATTCTCCCTTTTAAGCTTGTATTTTTTTTTCCAGTACATTAATAAAAACTCCACCTTGTGGTGGTTTGAATCTTTATAAAAAAATAAAAAAATAAAAAAAAAGGGGGACTAAACTCCTACAGAATAAATAATTTTGAATTAAACACAAATGGGCGACTTTCTTATTTGTGGTGCATTGATATCACATAAAATCACACCATACAATATCTTAAAATGTTAAAGCAATACTAATTTATATTTTGTTTTCAATTATAAGACACAAAAATTGCATCTTTAGTTAACGACTGAGTTGACATTAAAAACCAACTTTCTCATACACCATATATAGTTGATAAGTCCCATTACTAACCTGATAGTGATACATATGTTGTTTGATTTATCCATTATTTAGTTCTTCTAATTGTTATCAATAGTTGCAAAAGTGGCTTCACTTGGACATCCATAAGATGGTTGTTGCCAATAAACAATCGTTATTGAAAAGGGAAAGAAAAAAATGGGTCACCTCTAAAGAAGTGGATCACCCATCATCTTTTGTTTCTTAATTTAGGAATCTTAAGAGCTTCATAGCTTGATTTACCTGTCGTTTTGTCTGATGACATGAGACACAAGTGGATTACTCTTATTATCATTGTTACACCATAAAATAGCACAACTCAATTAAAACGCTATAAAACATGAATAGATAGCCATAGAAATTAGGAAGATTTTGCACTCAAGATCAAACCAAATTGCGAGGATAGTTGGACAAAAACTCAAAAAGCAACAAGATGAAGCTGATTAGAAAAAAGTAAGGCACGCGATGCTGAGTTACATAGACAGCAAAGTCAATATAGTGTCAAGTCTCATCGTTCAAGATAGAATAGTTGTAGGTTGCAATAGAAAATCTACACGTATCAATCAATAACTGAGTGATTCACATAATTTGGCAGAAAAATCACATCAAACAAGTCATAGCCAATAACGGTAGCTAAGTGGACTGAGATATGCACTAAAAACAAATCCCAACATCATAATTCCTGCAATACAAGTTCTAAAGTTGATTCTATGAGCAATTTTCACGCATTAATACCAACCAACATTAGTCCTAGGACACCTCTCACTCTCTTAATCATACCATCAACTATGTGGTTGATTATTCATGTTCACATTCCTTGATGTAAGTGTTATGCCCTATATCCAATCGATTTAGGTTGTAAACGCTTTTAATATATTTAATGCATTTGATTTTGGCGAGATCTATTATTTATTTAAATTAATTTTGTAATAAATAATATTAAATAATAGAATCCGAAGACCCAATTTTTAGGTAATCTGTTAATCACAAGGAGTTGTGATTGTGAGATACAAATTACATATAATTGGATCTTGAATAAACCATGGTCGTAAGTAATAACGAGATACGGATATCGTTAATACAGTTAGACCATCACGTGTGACATTTCTTACTTATGAAGTAAGTAGCTGATCTCACGAGCTAAAGTGTGGTGACACTTAAATGAACATGTGGATGTTTTGTTGTAGAACAAAACATTGGAGACCCGCTAAGAGATTCCACATG